AAGACCTTCAGAATTCTTCTTATACCATCTTCCTAGAATTATTTTATGAACCTTCTGGAAAACACTTCAGTAACCTCTTCTAACAGTAAGGTCATTTGAACTACTCATTGCCTTGACTTTTTTTTTTTTTCTTTTTCTTTCTTTCTTTCTTTTGGTTGCATTGGGTCTTCGATGCTGCTTGCGGGCTTTCTCTAGTTGCAGCGAGCGGGGGCTACTCTTCATTGTGGCATGCGGGCTCCTCATTGCAGTGGCTTCTCTTGTTGAGGAGCACAGGCTCTAGGCGGGCGGGCTTCAGTAGTTGTGGCACATGGGCTCAGTGGTTGTGGCTCACGGGCTCTAGAGCACAGGCTCAGGTGTTGTGGCGCATGGGCTTAGTTGCTCGATGGCATGTGGGATCTTCCCAGAGCAGGGCTTGAACCCATGTTCCCTGCATTGGCAGGCAGATTCTTAACCACTGCGCCACCAGGGAAGTTCTGTCTTGACTATTGATGTAAGAAATTACAAAGTAGATGATTCTCTAGGATTAAAGTGTGTGTGTGTCTCTCTCTGTGTGTTCTGTGTTTAGTTTTGTTTCTCTAAGCTAGTTTAAAGCATTTCATGCAAAAATCTATTTGCTTTCAAAATTGATTTTTAGATTAATGTTTAATTTCTTAGGAGAATTACTTTGTGTCATTATATCTGTTTAAGAAATAATACTGTAGTCATGACTAATGCCTCAATTTTGTATTATGCCATATATATATATATATATATATATATTCTAGTAACAGTAATGTCAATAAAGATGGTAGAATATACAGATTGGCTTTCAGTGAGATGTGTTTACCTCAAAATTTATCTTTTGATTCTCATATTGTGGTTATAAATGTAAGTCCTATGGGATGTTACTGTGTTACGTGAAGAAGAATTCTAGGATCATATCACTTTGCTGCATGCTAGGTTATTCAGGGTTAAATGGGTTTCTTTACTGCAGGACTTCTCAGAACCTTTAATATATTAATGTGCATTATAAATGTTTCAGAGTGGAACACGTAGGTGTTTGCAGAACTTATATAAGTATGGAACACTCAATTCTAGGACTTCTGTTCCATAGAGCATACTTTGGAAAATGCTGGTGTTTGATGCATTAGCTTTGTGTAAATTGTTATAAAGGAAGTAGTGTGTCTAACCTTTATTTATGAGTGCCATCCAGTTTATTTGGAAAAGTATTAGCACTTGAACACTTGGGATAATCAGTGTCAGATGCTTTTCAGATCCTTTAAGAGATAAGTGCTTTAAGATTTCGGGTATAGCTTCTCTACTGCTGCTTCTACAGCTTTTCTCTAAAATGAAATTTTTCCTCATGCTTAGTGTTGAAATGTACCTTTAAACAGACTAGTGATAAGCTCTCTTGATGATTCCGCAAACTTTTCACTCCAGACTGGTTTTCTCTACTGAGCTCCAAACTACCATTTTAAGTTCCCTTCCTGACAGTTTTACATGCAAACCCTGTAGGCATCAGAACTTGGTCAAAACTGAGCTCATCCTTTCCCTCACCATCCCCCCTGTTCCAAACTTTATTTTCTGTTTACCATACTGCCTAGTGGCACTGTCTTCTTTTCAGTCACCCAGACCAGAAGTCCAGGAGACTCAGATTCCTCCTTCATCTCCTACATCATGATTTCTTAACCTTGACACTGTTGACATTTTTGGCTGGATAGTTTTTTGCTGTAGGAGGCTGTCCTGTGCATTGTAGATGTTCAGCAACACCCCTGGCTTCTTCCCACTAGAAGCCAGTAGCAATCTCCCTCCGTTGTGCCCACCAAAAATGTCTCCAGACATTGTAAAATGTCCCCTTGGGGACAACTCGCCCCTGTTTGATAAACCACTGCCCTACATCCAAACTGTTAGTTTATCTTATTGATTCTACTTTCTAAATTTACCTTTAACCCCTCCTCATGTCTTCATTCCACTCCCTAACCTCCTATTCTTTTTATTTTTTTAATACTTGGTATCCTTTGTAAGGTTCTGACTAGTGTCCCTGTGTCCAATGTTGTTTCCCTTCAACCCACCCTTTTCAGTGCTACTAAATGTATCTTTCTAAAATGCAAAGCTGTTCCTATTTACATCTCTCAGTAGTTTCCAGTGGGTACCCTCATGAACTGGCTTCTCTATCTCTAGCCTCATTCTTCAAAGGCACGCATACTCACTGAGGTTCTTGCTACACATGCCTAAGTACTATGCCCTCTAACCACTGTACCATGGTTTCAGACTCTCCTTAGGCATCAGTTTCTCCACAGTAGCCTTTACCCACTTATTTTCAGAGACTCTATCATGGTGAAGGGCATTTTATTTGTTTAACATATCTGTCTTCCCTCACCAGACTGAACTTTTCAAGGGCAAAGACCATCTCTCTCTGTTTTTACCATGTAGTAGATATTCCATAAAAGAGTGAATCATCTGCTTGTATGCCCTGACAGATGTAGTAACATCCTCGTTACTTCTAGGAATTCTCTTCCCTGGGTATCACCTGTAAAATTATTTCCCTAGTCTTTATCATCCAGATGTTGATGGCTAGGCCTTTAACCACAGAGATCTTGAACTACAACTTTTTTTTTCTTTGAATTAACTATAACTTTCTTTAAGAAATCAGCTATTCAGAAAAGAATTGAAGAAAACAGCGTATTTAGTTGATGTCAGACGTCATTTGCTTGTAAAATAGCTAGTTTACCCTAAAGGTTTTTATTCAGAATGGAATTAAATTGTGTGGAATAATTGTGCAGATTAATTACACTGTGTGAATTAATATGGTGTGGAAAGTATTTATTGGACTCAAAACATCACATTTCCATTGAATAAGGATTTGATGATTGGTCATATAAGGCTTGCAAAAGCAATATCATTGTCTTAACAATCTTACTTTTTTGGAAAATACATTTATTAGAGCACATTCTTATAATTATCAGCCTACGCTATCTAGAAATTTATTCCCTTTCAAATGAAAAAAATATTATCAAGTCAATAGAGCCAAGAATGGCCCACTTCCCTTCCTTATGTGTCTTAAAAAATAGAATTTTGTGTGAATGAATTTCCCTGTGAATTGGAACTAGCTGCAATCACTGAACTTTAATTAAAAGGTGAAAAAAAAGAAAAGCGGAGGTTGCAGGGCTTTTGGACGATAACCCAAATGTAGCACCAGCCTTACTGTGAAAGTCAAGGATTGAGGATGGGGAAAGGGAATGAATAGGGCCTACTCCTAATTTGGAAGAATTCTGCATCCTGGCATAGCGCCTTGCCAGATTATTAATAATTATTTGCTGAATGAACCCATGTATAATAGCAGTTAACGCCAGAAGTGATGACTTTCTGCTTCATTTTTTAGGGAGGGGCATAAAATGTATCGCTCACTTCCTTTCAAAAGTGATTCTTTAATAAGAACAGTTGTTATGGTGGTTTCCAGAAATGAAACTGGGAAGAGCCCAGTTACATACAGGGAAGGTACCTCCCTTTCCTAATAGCTCTCTAAGGGCTAAAGTAAATCATAGAGACATATGTGACACCCAGCCCATTATTATTAATCTGAAGAAAAACTTTGCCAAAGACCAAAATTTGCCTTGCCTGTTTTCTAATTTCACTGTTTTCCATACTCTCTTTTCCCTTCTTTAAATTTAAAATTGGAAAACATTTTTAAAATTAAAAAATTTAAACTTACTTAATTTTAACATTACATATATAATACTAGTTAAAAGTCTCTTTAGGACCTTAAGCTGCTTTAGGAAAGAAAACTGTTATGTAAATGAAAGAAACATTTGGACTCCAAAAAAATTTTTGGTAAATGCTCTTTACAAGAGAATTCTTACTGAGAACTTGGAAAATTTTGCCTTATAATGCTTCTATCACATACAGATCATCTCATGCTTGTTTTTTCAGACTGTAAACAAAATCTGTAATGATCATATTTTGAATATATATTTTTGATACGTTTTGGTTCGTGAAATTATAATTTTTAAAACCTCTATTTATCTTTAAGGCCTTACTTGATCTAAGTAAAAGATACTGTGATGATGGGCTACTTTGTTTTCCTTATATTTTTCAGTATAGTAGAGATTATATTAAAAGTAAACTTTCCCAGTAAATTCTTTACCTGTTACCAGAATAATGTAGTTTTTAAATGGGTAAAAACTTTAACTTAGTGAGAGTCACACATAAGATACTTGTATTTAAACAGCATATCGTCAATTCTAATTATTTGCAGTGGTTTTGTTCTATAAAGGCACCACAAACACTGAATTAATGAGTGTTGAACCATTGTCTGGAGGGAAACAGTGTTAGATTCCTGTGAGCCTCTGGTCACAACATTTTCATCAGCCAATCAATAATAACCTTGTTTGATGTATGTTTCTATCTAAAGACACCCCATTTAATATATATTGTTGATTCATTACCATTGAACTCAAGGCCAGAAGCACTGTAACTCATGCCTGAACAAAACTTATGTAACATTTTTTCTCCATGAGGCACATCACAGTCTGCTTACATCTAGGAACAGACAGCACTCAGCACTGTGCTTGGGGGCCATTTGAAACAGTGAAAGCACCAACAAAAAGCACAAAAATGCAGACTTCATGGTGCTAAACAGATTGCAAAAAGAACACTTGTTTATAGTATGAGAGCTGAAGCAAGAGGGCAGAGTGCTACCTTGATCAACCTCAGGTGGAAAGGTACATGTCAGGTCACTGGAAGAGACCAAGGAAGTACCTCAAGTATGGATTTTGGGGTTACAAATGCATTTTACTGAGTAGGCAAAATCACAGATACAGAATCTTCAAATAATAAGGATTGACTGTAATTGTTTTAAAGAAGGTTATAATACTGAGTATTCAAATTTAAAAGAAAGTTTCTCTTATTTTCAAGGATGTGGGAATTTTTGGGTAAGTGGAATCATACAGTTTTCATGTTCTATTGTCCAGTGGAATAAAAGTGGCTGCTTTCATCCTGTCATTTTGTTTTCTCCCCTACAGGGAACAACCCATCTTCAGCACTCGAGCTCATGTCTTCCAGATCGACCCAAACACAAAGAAGAACTGGGTACCCACCAGCAAGCACGCAGTTACTGTGTCTTATTTCTATGACAGCACAAGAAACGTGTATAGGATAATCAGTTTAGATGGCTCAAAGGTAAGTTACATTTACATTAAATAACCTTGCTGTTTTGCTTTATATAGTATACACTTCAGTTTTATTCAGAAGATTTTTATCTTCATTAAAATAAAATATTTTCTTTTGAGCTTTAAAAACTTACCTTTTAAAAAACAAAATTGATCATTTTTAGGGTAGCAACTTTTTCATCCCCTAAATTACATGGATTAACCACCTTATATATATATTGAGTTACATGCCAAAATATTCTACAAATTTGAAGTCAGTTTATTTGATAAATATTCGTTGCATATCTGTTGTGTCAGGCACTGTGTTAGGTGCTAGGAATATATTTTTCAACAGAATGGACACAGTTTCTACTCTTGGAGCATGTAATCTAGTGAGGAACTAGACTTCTTTTCAGATATACTTCTATAGTCTAGTAGGCAGTTCAAAATCCCTAAATCATAGGAAGTCTTTCAATATTAAGTTCAGTATTCAATAATAAAGCTGACATCCATTATTCAGAAGAGAAGCGTATGGACAAGACCTGTTTTTATTTGTTAGGAGAGGCAGATAGTAAAATGTTTATGAGCATGGACTGCCTGGGTTTCTCTCTCAATTCTACCATCTATGAAGTTTTTGATTTGGGGCAAATTATGTGTTTACTTCTCTGAGTTTCATTGTTCTCACCTCAGTAGTAGTTGTAAGGATTGAGTTAGTATCTGCAAAGCACTTGGTTACCTCAGTGCCTGATGGAGTATACCCTTCAATAGGGGGGAAGTTCCATTTTTTCCTCAATGAATTTTGAATAATACATGTAGATAATTCTTAGGAAATTTTCACAGTTCAGTGTAGAGTTAAGACCACAAACTCTGAAGCTGGACCGTCTGGTTTGAATTTTTACTTTAATACTTACTAGCCATGTGACCTAGAGCAAGGTACTTAATGTCTTCATGTCTCAGTTTTCTCATCTGTAAAAAAGAACTAATGTAAATAACTACATCATTACACCGTGGGATTATTGTGAAGATTAAATAAATTAATTTAGGCAAAAGCACTTAAAGCGTGTATAGTAATCACTATACAAACACTTACTGCTATTGTTATTATTAATCAGCTTTTTTTTTTTTAAAGATGTTGGCGGTAGGAGTTTATTAATTAATTAATTTATTTTTGCTGCATTGGGTCTTCGTGCGAGGGCTTTCTCTAGTTGTGGCAAGCGGGGGCCACTCTTCATCGCAGTGCGCGGGCCTCTCACTATTGCGGCCTCTCTTGTTGCGGAGCACAGGCTCCAGACACGCAGGCTCAGTAGTTGTGGCTCACGGACCTAGTTGCTCCGCGGCATGTGGGATCCTCCCAGACCAGGGCTCGAACCCGTGTCCCCTGCATTAGCAGGCAGATTCTCAACCACTGCACCACCAGGGAAGCCCCCAGCTTTTAATTATGTATTGCCTAGTGGTTTGGGGGAATAAAAGATAATTTAATTTAATGCTGAACTTTCAGTCTGTTTTTTCTATGTGCTCATTCCTTATCTCCTTAACTGGATTATAGGACCCCAGGGGCTATGTGCACTTTGTCCTGTACATAAGTGACTAACATGTATTTATTTGAATAATTGATCCTCTTTTCATTTTTACTCAGGATTTATAGGACTTGGGAAATAGCAATAGTTAATTTATCTGAAGCTTTTTTTAATGAAGAACAATTTTGCCACATTTTGTAACTGTTTAGTGAAATTAACAGATATTAATTATTATAATCTCTGACCCTAGAGTGTTAATTTATTTCTTTTCCCTGACTTGAACCTTCAATTCTCTGTAATTTGTATTTCTCTCTTGGCCCAAACCATGGATAAGATGTGGTTTTATTAGAGAGGGCAGTTAAATGATATATAAAAGTAAAGTAGGCCCAAGTCCATTGTGATTAAATAATCCTCGTGTGTTTTTCTCCTGAAGCAGTATGAACTATTGCTTCTGTCATTTCCATTTTTGAATATACTTTGTAGCTTGTAATTATTAGGCTCTTATGTAACCCTTGTGAAAAAGTTTTTTTGTTTCTTTTAATAAAATCTACTCTCTGTACTGGAGTTATATTTTCTATAACATTTTCCATTTTCTAGTTACTTTTCTGAACTGATGCTATTAACTATTGCAGTTTCCTGCAGGAGTAGTTTTTTGGTAAGCAGTAGTGGTTTATTTGATGCAGCTAAATGGGTGCGTTTCTTTTCCCCACCCTCACTTCTGTTTCTGCACAACATGATGAGTTGGGAAAACCTTAGGTGCCCCTGATTAGAAAACATCCATTTGTTCTCACTTAAGGCCTTTTCTGTGCATGTCAGGTTTGCTTGAAGGTTTTCTAATCCTGCTGCAGAGATGTCAGTATGGCCGAGGGCCAGGATCAGGGCACTATATGGTTGGTAATGACACAGCATTTCTACTTCTTTTCCTTGAAAAGACAAGAACTATGGGATTGAGAGACATATTTATTTTAAAGAACTAAAAATTTTTTAAAATGGATTTATAGTAGCATTCTATTTTAAGAATTCTAATAAATAATTTTAAGTGCAGAATCATCTATTATTTTAAAGTTTTATTCACTGATTAAAGAATCCCAAAACAAGTCATATGGAGGCAAGGAAAGGTTCAGAATGGGGATTAAAATGGAACTCTTAAACATAAACACAGAAAGAAGTTAGTCTGAAATAGCCAAACCAGAAGGTCACTGACCAGCAGCTCATGAGTCACACCTTGTACGTGCCTTATAAAGCCCGTGGTCGCCTCACTATGTGAGAGTTGTTAGGGTCACCTGTAAGATGCCCATCTCTCCTTGGAAACACTCAGATCCCAGCTCACATGTACATGTACCCTCCTCAGGGAACACTCAAGGACCACCAAATCTAAAGTAGTTCTGGCCAGCCCTTGCCTTTCTGCCTCTCAGTCTTGATCCCATCCTGGTCTGTGGTCTTCACAGCACTTACCACTCTCTGAAATTTCATTGGTCAGCTACTTGTTTACTTGTTCAATGACTGACTCTTCTTGCTCTAGAATGTAATCCACAGTTACGTTGCTTCTCACTGTTGTATCTCAAGTTCCTAGAGTTGTGCTTGGCATTTAGTAGGTATTTGCACACGCGAAAAGTTGCATATCCAAACGAGTCCTTACCATTCGTTAGTATATTCTTTCTCACTCAGTCTTTCATGCATGTTAGCAGTTGTTAGCTACATTTTACAGGATCTAAAATGACATGCCAGGAAAAAACAGCTTTTGAACCAAAGGGTAAGGCAGTATATTAGTGTATAAATTTTGTCGGAGGTGAAAATGCTTATAGAGAATAAGGGCTCTCATGTAACAACAGATAACATGTCTACTGTCTGTGAGAGAAGGCAAGCCACCACTCTCTTACTGTCTACTTTAGTAGGACAAATGTCTTACCTTCATTATAACTTCATCAATACCTGCATAGCTCATAAATATTTACGTTTATACTGTTGTTCATGTGGTGTACAGATTTAGCTTTGTTCTGGAATGCTTGATTCTTATTCCACATTTAATAGTTCACCAAATAACTGCTTATGGATTTGATAATGTATCTATTTTTATTATTACTGGGATCACTTTGTAATCTCAATCTCAGTTACAGAGTCATTAGACTACTTAACTAAAACTGATTCTAAACCTTAACAGTACTGGCAGAGGGGATGAACGAACTGAAATTAAAGTGTTAAAGAGTAGTTGAACTTTATTAAAGTGATCAGCAAAGTTAATATTTAATAAAGTACTAAAAAACTAGTTTTCTAAGAAACTATGTTATAAACAGAAGTGATAGTGATTCTCATTACCATGATTTTATACGACTTTATATGTAAAGAAACAAAGTGTATATTTAAGGGTTTGTTTTTCTCTTGAGTAAAGGGAAACTTACTAAAGGATTGAAAGTCTTTTCTGTATCACAGTATATTTCAGGTAAGTTGGCCTTAAGAAAATTCTTGTTGATGGATTTTAGAAAATAGTGATCAAATAGAAAATTTGTTCTATTGCTGCCTTAATTTTTGAAAGATTCTTTGGAGAGGGGTCCTTACTTTTTAAATAAACAACTATTAAAACCTACTTGCTTCTGGTGAATATCATCCAAAATTCATAGATATTGATCCTAAATGTTCAAAGAGAAGACACTGACCACATTAAAAACTCTTTAAAAGTTTTTGCATCACAGGAAAACTTATTTTGCTTGTAAAGTATTGAAATTTATAGTAGAGTGCCATTATACTTATAGTTTTATTATTACCATATTGCCACAGTCACTTATAATGTTAAAAACTGTTTCTCTAACTCTCTTTATATATTTAACATTGTGGCTCAATAGGAGTCCTGAGTTTTTAATGTATCTGAATAGTCCTGTGCTTAAATGCCTATTTGCGAATTTTTGGCTGGTTACTCATACTTGTTTTATTTTTCAGGCAATAATTAACAGCACCATCACCCCAAACATGACATTTACTAAAACATCTCAGAAGTTTGGCCAGTGGGCTGATAGCAGGGCAAACACTGTTTATGGACTGGGGTTCTCCTCTGAGCATCATCTTTCGAAAGTAAGTTAAATCATAAGATCTGAGTGGGAATCTACATCTTCAAATCAGACGTCTTAAATATATAATAGAAAATGGAGAGTATAAAATGTAGGAGAAATTTCTTTGGTATTTTCAGAACAACTGTAGTGACAGCAGAGCAAGAAGTGAGAGATCAGTGGATCCCACTGTCAGTTGGAAACGTTGTATACATTAAAAACAGTCACCATTGATTGAGGAGGGTTTTTGTGGTTAACTAGGTTTGATAGGAAATAAAATGTGGGAATTATCACTTCAGAATGGACTTTGCTCGGGAGTTAGCACCCTTGGTTGATGTTCTGTAAGATAGGTAGACACCAAACGCTTCTGAATTGTGAAAACTCAAGCTGATAGTGATATTTCAGACATAATAGCAGGCACATATAAGTTACTGTTTAGGAAAGTGGTGCTTTGTCTGGGTGAGAATTACTCTGAGCTCTCTGATGCAACACAGAGTAAGATCTAAGAGACACCGTGAGGAGTTCTCGGAACTGACCAAGTAAATTACTGTTGCTAGAATGGCTGATAAAATACAGAGCATCACCAGGCTGAATACTGGAAATAAAACAGTTTTCCTGCATATAAACAAAAGCCATGCAGTGTTCATACCAGCAGCATCTTGAGTTCTTGTGGATGTCACAAAGAAAGAGTTTATAAGGAAAAAGAAACAGTCTCAGGATAACAAGATGATCAAGGAGATGAGGATTACTCACTTTTACCCTTCACATTTGATGCTCACCAGACACAAAGAGTTATGCTTAAAACTCCTCTGTTTGAAGCATTCAGTTAAAAGAATAACCCTACATTTGAACCATATTTTATGTATGATTTGGTATACATAGGATCTGATGGCTTGAGAGTTGAAATAGCTCAAGTGCAGGGTAATCAGGCTCTTGTTAGATATACACTGTTAATACTTAAGTGAAACCTAAGCTGTTCGTTATAGAAATCATTGAGATTCTTAAAAATTATTTCTTTTAAAAAATCTTACACTTTTGTGAATATTTATTGACTTGAAGTTATAATTAGATAGCTCAGTAGTTAAAATAATCTTCCTTTCCTTTTGTTTTAGTTGTAAACTTTCCTTAACACTGTTGTTTTCAAGTGCTTTTGTTATCTTTTTGATATAAATTAGAGTTAAAAGCTCAATTTTACAACTATTTTAACTTTTGTCTTGATGATTATAAGTCATTCTCTGTAAGGTGATTAAAACAAACAAGTGTTAACTGATTTCATTTCTCTTACACCCATTATATCCTCTAAATATATTTCTTGAGTGTGGTAAAGTTATAAGTTTTAGACTTAAAGTATTTCAACATAGCAGGGACACAGGCATCGAGATAAGCATTGTCCCTCCATAAACAATCCCCTTAGGAAATTACACATTTAGTCTAATATTTTTGCCGTTACTCAAACCTTTTTGGAAATTTTCTTTTGCAATTGTCTATTAAAGCCTATAGCAAAAACATTAAAACTATAATTATATTACACTTGCTGAATTTCTTGACAACAAAGGAACTAAATTGTGGATTAATTTCTCAAACCTGCATGAAATGATTTCTGAGCCTAAGTAATTTTGACTATATTAAGTTGTTGTTGTTTTTGTACTACATCTTTCAAGTTACTGGGCAGATAGCTAATGTGGCAAAGAAATAGTTTATTAAATTCTGTCACTCATATTGTCTCCTCTTATCTGATCTTTTTTCTAAGAATAGCTTTTATAGTTAAAGAATTTTATTTTTCCTCTTTAAAGTTAGCATATGCTTTTGACCAAACTGGTAACGAATTCTAGTATTGTATTGTGAGGGTGGATTAACCATTAGGAAACAACTCAGTAGCTCCTGGAGCCAACTCTATAGTTTGTTTATTCACTGGACTTGGCTCTAAGAGCTTATGATCAGTCTCTTCAGAATGTTTTGGTCCAAAGATCACAAAATCATGACTCGTTTTCTAAGCTACCTTGAAGATTAATGTCGGTGCTTTGTAAACTGTAAGGGACCCAAAGGAGTACATAATCTTTTACATAAGTGAAGCAAGCCTGTAAATATTCTGGCTCGTTTTGTCACTAAAATCATACATGAAATGAAACGTTGTAAGAGTTTGGAGAAGGCTCTGAAGGCAATTCTAGGCAAGGTACTCTCAAAATATGAGAGAGCAGCAGCATTGAAAGAAATTTCTGGTCTCCTAAGGTTGATGTATGAGGAAAATTTCAACTATGCTTGGATTGTTAGAGTGCTTACCAAGTTGTATTTTGTTATCATGGAAACCTAAACCTATAAAAATTAGCAACAGCATGGGTCTTTATGAAGTTGAGAAGAATTTTAAACACTTACTACTTTGGAATGCCAAATTAGTGTAAGAAAAACTGTGTGTATTATTTCAAATTACATAAAGAGAAATTAATTATGGTTTTGCTTTTATTTCAATTCCAACAATGTGAATGAGACCTTTTTAGCTCTATATTCAGACTTTTTTTTTTTTTACAGCAATGAGATATTCTCTTTAATTAGATAAGTATAATAATACAGATTCAGTTTCCTGATCTACAAGTTGTAGGTGAAGGTAACAGTGTTTAAGAAGGAAAGTTGTAATAATGACAACTTTAATTTTGACCGTCCTCCGTCTCCCTATTGGCAGGTCAGAGTATCATGAGCCTTTCCTTACAAAGCTTTCCTTCCCAAGATGGCAATGAAATCAGGGTTGGCTTATGGGGTTCGAAGAGGGACCTATAATTTCATATTTTTATTGCTAGCTATAACAGATGTTTTGAGTTGCACAAAGATTTTAGATTTTTTTAATTTGGTTATTTTGTAGCCTTGCCTTATTCTCTCTGAGAACAGTGGCAGACTAGTTTCCACTTCCAGTTCATAAATAGATACTGTTTGTGGCCATGACATTTATTTGATTACCATGCGTTCCAAAGAGTAGCATTTCATATAAAGTAATTTTTTTTAATTGTTACCAAGCTTAAAGACCTTTGTGGGGTCCTGCTTTTCCTTTCTGCTGCTGTGCATTAGCTGTTTAGGAATCTTTGGAAATGAAGTTTTAGTAATGTCAGTTAGTGACAGTAGTAAACGTTGCTGTTTGTACTGCTGCAAATAAAATGCCTTACATAATACAAGAGTTTATATTCTAGTAAAAGTTAAAAGCATGCTCCAAATACAGATATGATTACGAGTGGACACTTAAGCGATTTAGTTTTCTCCATGAGAAACAAACATAGCACGCCCATCTTTACTGATTCCACTCCCAACCTGTACCCCACACCTTGGTCTTGGTAAAGTATATCCGAACAACCAAGGAGAGACAAAACTAAGCTAGCTGAAACCAAATTCTAACTTAGTTTTATCATGATTTTTTATTTTATTTTATTTTTTCATTTTTTTGCGGTACGCGGGCCTCTCACTGTTGTGACCTCTCCCGTTGCGGAGCACAGGCTCCGGACGCACAGGCTCAGCGGCCACGGCTCACGGGCCCAGCCACTCCGCGGTAATGTGGGATCTTCCCGGACCGGGGCACGAACCCACGTCCCCTGTATCGGCAGGCGGACTCTCAACCACTGCGCAACCAGGGAAGCCCTATCATGATTTTTTTTAATGAGATCTGTCAGAGTACTTATAGTGCGCAGATGTTTGATATTAGGTTTATTTTCCTGTCATTTTCATATTATGCCTGTAATTGATTTGAGAGCTAAGTTGCCGTGTAAGAGTCAGTTATTCCATAAAATGGAAGAAAACTAAGATAAAAGTGGGCAATTAAGACGTATTTTTATTTGATTAATGTATATAGTCTTTCTACATTCAGTTTGCAGAAAAGTTTCAGGAATTTAAAGAAGCTGCTCGACTAGCCAAGGAGAAATCACAAGAAAAGATGGAACTTACCAGTACACCTTCACAGGTGGGTATCTAATTTCTATTCTTACTTATAAACCTTGTTCATTTTAGATGGTATCCTTTATGCCAGAGATAAATTTAGGAAAATAATGGCAAAATTAAGGTGATTGGATTCCAAAGTAGACATAGAAATGCACCCTTCAGTTAATCCATACTAGTGGAGAAAGGGTTTTTTCCCTATATACCAATGTGTACAAGAATCTCAGGGGGAAAAATCTGTTTAGTAATTAAAACTCAGTTTTTTAATGTGCATACAACTTAAAAACCATTGTATATAAAAAACATAGATTGCCCTATTGTTTGTATTCTGTGTTCTGTGATGGTCAGTCGGGTGCAGCCCCGCAAGAGAAGACATAGCAGAGGCTTGGGAAAACAGAAGTTTATTGTCCTCACAGGTCCTAGAAACAGGAGGCATGACACACCTCTGCGGGGGCACCAGGGATGCCTCAGAGTGGTCAGAGGGCAGAAAGCAAAAGTGCAGGGGAACACCAAGGCTAGAACCTGTATTGGGGTTTCTGTTGGGAATGGCAGGGCAGGGTGAACAGTTTAGGACTGGCTAGCCTGAATGATTTCAGTGGGCCGTAAACTATAGAATTAGTTCCTAGTTGCCTGGTATCTGGCTCCTTAGGTGATTAAGGCAGAGGAATATTGTCTCCTGGGATGGAGGGGCCAGATAGAGGAGGTATGGCCTGGAGTGGTTATTTTGCATATCAAAGCCATGCTCCCACCTTAGCCCCCTGCTATCTCTAAGAATTGGCTAGCCAGAAAGGTTTTTTAAGATGTCAAAACATCACAATATACAGAAAATAAAAATATATAAACAATATAGTTTGTTCTACCTGATTTTAAGGTGTGTTTCAATCTGACAGTTGGGACATTTTACATCTCAGCACTGAGACCCAAAGGTTGTAGGTTTTAAAAAAGTATCCCTGAACGTAGAGATTCCCCAGGTGACTTGGAAGGATGCTATCTGCAGGGTCAGCCCTTTCGGTTTGAAGTGACCCTCAAATCTTGGAAGCAGGACCTATCCTTCAATCCACTGATCCAAGCACTAGGATGCAGTGGTGGAAATTTCATTCTTGGAGAGGAAGATATTTCTAAATGAATCACCTGATATGAAACTATTCTACAGCCAAGTGGATGAAAGGCTCTTGCTGCTCCAGCCAGGAGTCAGGACTCTGCCTCTGAGGTGGAAGAGCCAACTTCAGAACACTCGTCAAGAAGAGACCTCCCAGCCCCACATAATATCAAACGGCGAAAATCTCCCAGAGATCTCCATCTCAACACCAGCACCCAGCTTCACTCAACGACCAGCAAGCTACAGTGCTGGACAACCTATGCCAACCATATAGCAAAACAGGAACACAACCCCACCCACTAGCAGAGAGGCTGCCTAAAATCATAATAAGTCCACAGACACCCCAAAACACACCACCAGACGTGGACCTGCCCACTAGAGAGACAAGATCTAGCCTCATACACCACAACACAGCCACTAGTCCCCTCCACCAGGAAGCCTACACAACCCACTGAACCAACCTTAGCCACTGGAGACAGACATCAAAAACAACGGGAGCTACGAACTTGCAGCCTGCAAAAAGGTGAACCCAATCACAGTAAGATAAGCAAAATGAGAAGACAGAAAAACACACAGCAGATGAAGGAGCAAGATAAAAACCCACCAGACCTAACAAATGAAGAGGAAATAGGCAGTCTACCTGAAAAAGAGTTCAGAATAATGATAGTAAAGATGATCCAAAATCTTGGAAATAGAATGGACAAAATGCAAGAAGCAGTTAACAAGGACCTAGAAGAAATAAAGATGAAACAGACAATGATGAACAACACAATAAATGAAATGAAAAATACTCTAGATGGGATCAATAGCAGAATAAATGAGGCAGAAGAACGGATAAGTGACCTGGAAGATAAAATAGTGGAAATAACTACTGCAGAGCAGAATAAAGAAAAAAGAATGAAAAGAACTGAGGACAGTCTCAGAGACCTCTGGGACAACATTAAACGCACCAACATTCGAATTATAGGGGTTCCAGAAGAAGAAGAGAAAAAGAAAGGGACTGAGAAAATATTTGAAGAGATTATAGTTGAAAACTTCCCTAATATGGGAAAGGAAATCGTTAATCAAGTCCAGGAAGCACAGAGAGTCCCATACAGGATAAATTCAAGGAGAAATACGCCAAGACACATATTAATCAAACTGTCAAAAACTAAATACAAAGAAAGCATATTAAAAGCAGCAAGGGAAAAACAACAAATAACACACAAGGGAATCCCCATAAGGTTAACAGCTGATCTCTCAGCAGAAACTCTACAAGCCAGAAGGGAGTGGCAGGACATACTGAAAGTGATGAAGGAGAAAAACCTGCAACCAAGATTACTCTACCCAGCAAGGATCTCATTCAGATTTGATGGAGAAATTAAAACCTTTACAGACAAGCAAAAGCTGAGAGAGTTCAGCACCACCAAACCAGCTTTACAACAAATGCTAAAGGAACTGCTCTAGACAAAAACACAAGAGAAGGAAAAGTCCTATAATAACGAACCCAAAACAATTTAGAAAATGGGAATAGGAACATACATATCGATAATTACCTTAAATGTAAATGGACTAAATGCTCCCACCAAAAGACACAGATTGGCTGAATGGATACAAAAACAAGACCCATATATATGCTGTCTACAAGAGACCCACTTCAGACCTAGAGACACATACAGACTGAAAGTAAGGGGATGGAAAAAGATATTCCATGCAAATGGAAACCAAAAGAAAGCTGGAGTAGCAATTCTCATATCAGACAAAATAGACTTTAAAATAAGGACTATCAGAAGAGACAAAGAAGGACACTACATAATGATTAAGGGATCGATCCAAGAAGAAGATATAACAATTGTAAATACTTATGCCCCCAACATAGGAGCACCTCAATACATAAGGCAAATACTAACAACCAT